TCGTGAAGAGCAAATTGAAGCAAACAGAGATGCAATCCAGGCGAGAGAACAATTTCTCAAAACAGTCAAAGAAGAACGCCAACTGCTCCAAACCCAGAAAGATAACGAACAACGCGAATATTGGGAGCATATGCAAAAGATGCTGGAGGACTTTAAGAAGGCTATGGAACAACAAGAAGAGATGGAGGAAATTGTTGTTCTAGAAGAGGATGAAGAATCTGAGACAGAATCTGAAACTGAATCCATCATTGTCTCAATTCTTGAATACCCACAAACTCCATCACCACTGTATATCGAAAATAAGATAACACTTGCAGAAATGATTGCACGAGGTACAGTGGTGATGCTTCCTGAAAGCCCAAAAAGTCAAATCGTACAAGAGGTGAAGCCTACCGAGGGTCCTGTCTCGGAACCGCCTTCACCCGCTGCACCAAAAATGTTGGAGGAACCTGTCCTCCTAACATGTGTTGAAGACACTTCTCCAGAGGAACCTGTTCTGGAGAAATCTGAGCCCACCACCGACCCCCTTGATTCCGACACTGATGAGTCTGACGAATCTATAGACGAGAAAATACCTTGTGATGCTGAACCCATTCCGTCTATAGAAACTATCACTGAAGACTCAGGGGAAGGACATGTTGTAATCATCGAGCCAGCAACTGAAAGTCAGCCCATTGAATACTTGGAGAGCCATGTACTGGCGATTAATAAGGCCAATGATGTGGATAAACCAAGGAGACTCACACCACCACCCATCCAAGACGAGTCTCCTCCATTTTTCCTGTTGCCACCACGCCGCAGGAGTGAGTCAAAGATCCTGGACTTTGACTGGAAAAGAAGAGAACAAAGGTGGCATCAGAAGAGAGTCAAAAAGGTCAAACTTTATGACTCTCGGATCGGTAAGTCCCGTAAAAAACGGGCTAACGTCAAGCTAGTGACGTTAAAGAAACGCTTCTTGGGAGGCAACCCAAGTGAATAAATTTTATTTTTTCTTTTTTTTTCCTTTTTACGCGTTTTGTGTGTTTATGTGTGCAGGTGGAGTTTGGAATTAGGAGTGCTGGTGAACCATTTTTGACTCAATAAAAAAAAGAGAAATGACTAACTTTTGTGCATAAAATTTTTGTAAAAAAACATTTTCAAAAGAAAAAAAAAATTGAGGTCTCTGTCCCAAACTCTTGTTTTTATCGCTTAATGACCTCGAGGGCGAGGTCAACCCTAAGTGTGGGGAGATTGGAGTTTGGTACAGAATGTTTTTATTTGTGTAGGAAAACTTTTTGAAAATATTTTTATACACTTTGTTGCATTTTGTATATTAATAGTGATCTCTGCACCGTGTACGGAGTGATTGTCTAAGCTGGAATGGTACATAAGTGGACGCAAAGGGTGACGCCTTCGGGAGCCGAACTTGTCCCACCATTCCTACTGGGTCATTTTGTGGAAAGGTTTATTCGGGTGAGCCTAAGAGCACCTAATTGGCAGCATTCTGCCCGATCCCGAATACTCTGAATCGGTCTAGTTATCACTATTGATACTTTTAAAATTCTTTTACACTTTTTACTCGTTTCATAGGTAGAATTATTTTTAATAGCCTCCTTATGCAAAATTAGCCAAAATTTTGAAATTTTTTTCTTTAAATTGCACATATAGTCTTTTTATTGGCTAACTTTAATAAGTTTTGTAAATAAATAAATTTGGATACTAATGTGTTGAAAAGAAATCATTGTTTTAGTGAATAAATATTAACTTGTAAAATACGTTAAGGTCAAACATTTGTAACTTGTCATTTAAAATGATGCTGTTTCAATACTTCAAATTGAGTATGAGCAGTATACTTTTATGAAAATTTGATATTTCAATGATTGCATTGTAAGTTTTGGAACTAAAAAAAATATTCAAAGAACACACTTTGGTGAGACCGAGTTCTGGAGTGAATTCAAAGTCAAAAAGCATTTGGTTCTATGTCAGATGATGAGACTTATATTGAAGTGAGTGCCAAAAAGCACGCGGTTCTATGTCGTGTGATGAGGCTTTTGAGTGAATAAAAATCCAAAAAGCTCGTGGTTCTATGTCATGAGATGAGGATCAAAGTTTTTGCTTGTGTCAACATGACAATGTGATGTTCTACAAAAAAATTCAAACGTACTCTTTGCATAGGAATAAATGATAATTTCAGAAAAGTTTTTTTTAATTTTTTTTTTCAATGTACATATTTTTGACCTTAAATTATTCTGCAGTTATTATAAAACACTTACAATTCTTTTATTTTAGCCATTAGTATCTAAGTTTGTAAATGGACAACTTTTACATTTAGCCAATAAAATTAATTTATGTGCATCTTTTAGGAAAAAAAATAAAAATATTTTGCTAAATTTTTTGTAAAAAGGGTGCTATTTCTAGTAGTTCTATTTTTGTAAAGATTAAATAATGTAAAAGAATTTTGTGTAACAAATTGATTAAAAATGTGGTCAATAGTTTTTCCAAAATATTTTTGTAAATAAGTGTTTGATCCAAAATTTCATTTGTTGTTGTACTATGTTGCTTGAGGGCAAACAACGCTTAAGTGTGGGGAATTTGATAAGTCCGTTTTGTACGCACTTATCTTCTCTATATTTAATGTGTTATTGTCTAATTTTGGATTAAACAAATCAATTTCTCAATGGTTTTTATTAGTTTTTATTCATTATTGCAAAAGTGTACAAAAGTTATGTCTTGTTGTAAAAAGAATAAAAATTGAGTCAAAAGTGGTACAAAAAGTGTAAAAGATTGTGCAAATGGAATGCAACGAAGCAAAGAGATCTGTTCAGAATTTGAAGTCGGCACAGAAGGAAAAGTTTTTCAGAATAAAATTTTGAGCAAGAATGTATTTTTAGAAAATATTTTCAAACCGGGTAAAAATCCAGCCAACCAGGCGCTGCCACGTGGCGCAACCTGGCTGGCCGGCCTACTGTGGCAGCAGCAGCAAGGGAGTTGCGTCCAATTTCATGTGTCAATTCAAAATCATCATCATCAAATCAACAAAGTAAAAAAAAAATACTCACGCCATCAACAATTAATTTGCCTGATTGTGCAAGCCGCCGCACATCATCAATCGCCAGCAGCACTAACACTCCACGCGTGCGCCTGGACCTCAGGCCCACGCCTGTCAGAGGCCTGGACCGAAATTTTCTCCTATAAAAGGAGGGCTTCGCCCCTTCATTCAAATCAAGCTCCAATCCGGGTCTTTAAGGCCCGGAACTCCATTCTCTGCTCCCGTTCTCAGTTATATTTTAATATTTTAGTTTAGTTTTGTTCCGGTTGTTCCAAGTGGTTCCGACTCTGCTCTCTGTTGTAAGTTTTAATACTTACAATTTTAATAAAATATTTTCTTTTGTCATGCACTGTTAATATTTAGTATGGGTTAGGACCCGAATTAGGGTCATGGCTAAATTTGGGCATATACTCTGTATGTTTATTTAATAGTTGGAATAATTGTTCTAGAACTATTTTTATTGTTAAATTAATTAATTATGTCGAGAGAAAAATTAATTAATAATTGGAAATTAGTTTTTGCCTTGTCCATGAGGATATAAAATTAATTAAGCCAAACTTTTTAGAACACATTAATGTTACCTTGAGAGAGGATAAGTTAATGAAATATTTGTGACAGAAATATTATTATTCCAATTATTGATTAAATATGTGACAACAGTAGTTAACTCAGATGATGCCTTGGCCCGAAGTCTAGTCCTATACCCGTACTATTTATTTTCTTTTTCTCAAAAGCATCCAGTAGTTTATTTTATTATTATTTTCAAATCAAATCGAGAAGACTTTCAGACCCGTCCTAACCTTCGTCTAGTTAGAAAAATTAGCTAATTCCCTTCGTCCACTCCTCGAGAGACACGACACTCGGAGAAAACTAACCCTTCATTGGGAAGGTTGACTTACCGAAAAACTCAATCATCACGGGACGTACTCTTTTGTGTAACAGTTTTGAGGTGTGCTCATTTACAACGATGCGTAGTTAATTAGGTTTTGTTTTACATTTCCGGAGACAGTTAGGTTCCGTAGTTTACTTTTATCATGGCATGTATTTGTGATATATTAATATCAATTATCATGTGGACCGAAAGGCTCATATTCATACATTGATTTTTCATTTGACGTTGTTTAACATGACCATTACCATATTTTGATGTAAATTTTTTAAGACATACCTAAAAATTCTTTCTTGATTCTTGCATTTTGGAATTCAGACAATTGGGCAAAAAATAGGTGGCAAAAACCAGTGATATGTTGAAACTTTTCAAAGAGAAATATAGTACCTGAAGGGTGAGATGGAGTTGAATGTAGGATGACTAGCGAACAGCAGTGATGTCATGGATGTTGCGTCGCGGGCGGCTGAAATTGGTCATCGGCTACAGGCGACTGGACGGACGACAGAAGAACAAGGGCTTTTTCTCGTTTTAGAGACTCGTTGGCGACAAAGAACGGACGACTGCAATAGGATGAGAAATTAACTGAGGATGAAGGTGAAAGGGGTATTGCAATTATTCGGGAGAAGAAAGGTCCGAAAACTCTTTTACTCTTTGTATTTAACTGTCCAGATGTGCGCTCATGTCACCAGACACGTGTCAAGAAAAACCATCTATGTCAGCTGCCTCGTCATGATCCATGTGTCAACACCACATGCAAAAAACTCTACTTTATATAATATATATATATATATATATATATATATATATGATTACCCTGCATTTAACCCTATATCCACTAAAAAAAATTAGTCCAAAGATTTTAATAGTTTCACGTATTTTATCCACCATACGAGTTGTGAAGTACTGAAGTATATGTCCCAAAGTGAGAAATTCTTTAATACGGAGTAATTAAGGTACCACTGCTCAGATAAATCCCATAAATGTCAACTTCATGTACTGTATTTGACAATTGTCTCCAGAAGGACCGGGATAATTATAGCATCCTTATGTCCAATACTCGGTGTTTTTCTTTCTCGTTATGGTCCCCAAGCCCTGCCGGCTCAAAGCCTCCACTTTTTTGTTTTAGTCTTCATGTCAGCAATCCCCTCATTTCTCAATCATTGCAATTTGGAACCCTAAAGTGTTTCTCTCAAATTCCACATTTTCCCTTCCTAATTGCCTTTTCAACCTCGTAAATTCTCAATTAGCTTGTTGATCGCGGTCGTTCCTCTCTCCTGTTCCATCGAAATCGTGAAATTCATCAATGGCGTAGTGGTTCGTCCTCAAGTTTCAGGCTTCAGGCTCTGACGAATGCTCTAAGTTTCCAGTTTCGCTTGGGGTGTTGTAAATAGAGTAATTGTTTGGTATTTCTGGATAGGGTTGCAGTTTGGGATGGCTGCCGCAGGCAAAGCTGATGCTGTAGTTGCTGTGCCGGAGCATTTCCCGGTCGGGCTAAGGGTGCTGGTGGTTGATGACGATGTTGTTTGGCTCAAAATAATCGAGCAGATGCTTCGCAAGTGCAGTTATAATGGTCTGTTCTTGTTTCATAGCAGCTTATTTGATCAGCTAACCTTTCTGCTTAGTAATTTTTGAGGTTTATCTGCAATATATTCTCGTGGCATCCTGAGATGATTTCAATTACTTGATCTATAATTGAGCTTGGAGAATTTTGTTTCTTTTTCTGTGCTAATCATCTTGAGAGCAAAGATTGCCTTAGAGGGTAAGAAAGGTCACCTTTTGGACTGTTTCTCTCAATCGTTCATGGGATCATATGGTTGGTAAGTATAAAATGGCGTTTATAAAATTGATTTGAGAATTTTCATTGATTCATAAATTGTTATGCTTATCCTTTTGTGGCTCTCTTTGAGAATTTTCAATGATTCAGAATAATTTTGTTTCAAGGTTCTGCTCATCCTTTTGTGGCTCTCTTTGCATTTGTGGAAGTGTTATGCTTATCTCTTTTTTTTATATATAATTAATTCTCCATGATATTTATATTCCTAGTGTAGACATGCACTGTTACCATTATGCCAATCTATAATTATGAAAGGCCAGAGGCGAGTTGAGAGATTGTCAACAAACGGAAAACCGTGCAACATATTTAAAAACAAAAAAACCTATGTAGTGCAGTTAATTTATTCCTTAATTTCAAAACCATGTCATAAATAGTAAAATAAGCATGAAAGCTAAACATTAATGCTAAGTAGTCAATTTAAATTAATCATTAATTCCATTATCTGATCCCTATTCTTTCTCACTCAATTCAAACTGACCCGCATTGGCCGGTTGCCAGCGTTGGGGTTCTCAGTAGCTGTTCGGGTAGCTAATGGTTCAGTGTTTTTACAGCTTCTGTTGTTATTTTGTTACATGACTTGCATCTATTCTTGTTGTCTTTTATGTGGCGGACTAGTGGTTTAAGCCCTTTTTAGTTGTAGTTTCTTGCTTGGTATAAAAAAGCGCGCCTAGGCACGAGGCGCAGTGAGGCACTCAAGATTTTTCCTCAAGATGTCTGGGCATACCAATTTCCAGAAGACACAGGCTTCATTCCGCCTCTGAGAAGTTTCTATCAGTCGCGAAGCGCTCCTGCGCTTTGAAGATGTTTAGCTTTTTTAATAAGAAAAAAACACACGTTCTGGCTGGTTAGGGTTGCATCTCGTTACTTACATCCTCGCGTCGTGATTGTAAAAAACCTACATGTCCCTTCTTCACGGAGTCTTCTCCTCTCTCCTTCCAGGTATTCATCATCATCATCATCATCATCATCATCTTCTTCTTCTCCTCCTCCTCCTCCTCCTCCTCCTTCTCTATTTGAACCTTGTCCCAGCCCTCTGGTATTTCTTTTGTCATGTAGTACTCCCTCCATTCTTTTTAATTCTCCATTTTGTTTTTCGTGCGGAATGTTTGAGGAACAATATCTCTTAAAATATATTAGTAAAAGATTAATAAAAAAAAATATATTCTTCTTCTTCTCCTCCTCCTCCTCTTCTGCTCCTTTATTTGAACCTTGTCCTAGCCCCTAGGTATTTTGTTTTGTTATGTAGTACTCCTTCCATTCATTTTAATTGTCCATTTTGTTTTTTTGTGCTGAATGTTTGACTAACAGTATCCCTTAAAATATACTCCCTCCGTCCCTAAATGGATTACAATTTTTTTTTCTCTCTCCTCTCGATAACTTTTGTTTGTTTACGCGATTTGACTAAGTATTTGATAAAATAAAATATTCTTGTCACCTCTTATTTTGTAGAACTTTTCATGTAGTTTTTTAATATGTAATTTTTATATATTATTGATATACCAATTTGTAAATAAAATGATTTCAAAAAGTAGGAAATTTTACTCCGTAACCCGCAATTTGTAATCAAATTGGGGACGGAGGGAGTATTAGTAAAAAATTATTCAAAAAGATACGGTATATAAAAACTATTTTTTGATACAATTATTATGGTGTAGTTTTTATATTTTTATTTGTTATACATTTTTATATATCGTTAGTCAAACTTTTGGCACCAAAAGTGAACTGGACAATTAAAAAGAATGTGGGAAGTAATTGCTAACTTTTCAAAAAATTCTTTGATAGGGTACATGTGCGTAACTGAAACTTGTAAATACTCTGTACCTAAATGAGTTTTATTGATTACATTTGCCTAGGCATGCTGGTTCCTGTAAAAACCAAGATTTATAGTTAAAAAGTCCAGTCATATTGTATTCAAGTCAGCCCATGGTTTATCTAAGTCAACCCACCTTTTATTGAAGTCTGCCTAACTCAGACCACTTTTTTAAAACTAAACATGCTAAAAACACTCCCAAGACATATGCAATAGAGACGAGCCCCTCTAGCCCCAAATTTAGGCAACCAAAGCAAGTGCCTCTCTTGCTGTTGTATCTCAATTTTCCCGGGGAAGTTCAGGCAACGCAGGGTCGCCTTTTTCCCTGGGCGTCTGTAGTGAGCAAGGCGAGTGCCTTTCATAACCATCCTCCTAGCTGATAATTTTGCAGACAGTTACTGACATTCACAGTGGGATGTTTGCTAAGATGTGAACTTGGCACTTGTTTCCATACTGGCTTGGAGTTTTACATGCTATGAATTTAGGGTCATTCTTTTTCTGTAGTAGAGATTCATAGTTTTAGACTTTTGGTTGAGATGCGTAGAAATCCTTCCTTTTTATGAATGCAGTTGGCTACTGTCATTCCTACAAAACAAAGGCATGTGTATACCAAGTAGGCAAGTAGGCTTGATCATGCCAATTAAAAATTCCTTGATTCATATGCTCATTATTTTAGATCAAATCTGGGCATAGTTTGTAAGGCGGTAAGGCGAGGCGAGGCACCTTCATACTGCCTAGGCGACTAGGCGGACGCCTAGGCGATGCCTAGGTGACTTTATACACACACACACACACACATACATACATACATACATACATACATACATACATACATACATACATACATACATATATATATAGGGCACAACATACCACAATATTATAAATAATAAGGCACAACATATGAAACTAAAGTCCACACATAATCTGAAAAAGAAAGAAGGGTTCAATTCAAAACAAAAACACAATTCAAAACAAGTTCATCTCCATCCCGCTGGTTTAATGAACCAAACATGCATGTCTAAATATTATCATTGAATAGGTCATTCAAATGGATATCATTATCTGTGTCAGTGTGTCCATAGATTCATCCTGGACAGTAGATAAATCAACACCATAGTCATCCTCAGTTTGCTCATCATCATTTGGAAATGATTCAACTTCAGTATCTGGGCTGCACTAAAAGGATGGGCTGAACTAAAAAAATAGGCTGCACTAAAAAAAATTGGGCTTTTCATAAATTTGAAGTGACCCAAGGGGTCTAGGCGAGAAAGGCGACATAAGGCGAGGTAAGGAGACGCCTAGGCGAGCGCCTGACTGCCTTGGTTTTCTGGGCGAGGCGAGCAACGAAGGCGAGCAAAAAATAACGCCTTAGCGCCTAGGCGATGCCTTAACAACTATGAATCTGGGACATGGGAATGAAGAAACTTTGAGCTTGTTGTGGATGATTACAATTTACAACATTCAAAGATATATCAATACTTATCTTAACTTGCTAAACATTGTATCAAATTTCAATATTTGTTATGGATTTATATTTGTATAGGTTAATTCAGAAGCACCCGGGTCCCGGTAAACCACTTAACCTGCGTGGCATGTTGGTGCAAACCAACAACTTGGAAGTTTAAACCCTAACCGCGTATTTGGCCTTGCTCTAAGAGTTCAAGATACACACCTACTTTATCTGCATTTAGAATACTCGCTTTCTCCCAAATAATTGTTCTGCTTTTGCTTTATAATGTTTAGTTGAATTTATTTTTAATTTTTAGTTTATTTTAAAAATTAGCATAGAATTTGAAATAAATACAAGAATTTATATTCTTAAAACTCAAGTCAATTTGGCACCCATATTTAAAAAGTGAAATTTCACGTTTGTGGTTTATTTAGAAGTGAGTGAAATTACTTAGACCATACAATGGTTTCCATAAAGAGTAATGGTGATAAAAAGTTAGTACCCCACTACCCCCCCCCCCATCTCACAATTTTTGTCCCAATTAACTATTTTTGTCCGTCCCACTTCTTTTGTCCCATACTATATTTGGTTATGTTTGTGTGGCTCACATTCCTTCTTAATTTATATACTTTTTAAAATCAATATCAACCGCATAATCTCACTCTTCTTAATTCTCTTGCCACTCCCCATGTCCCAAAAATAGTTGGACAGATGGAGTACAAGGCAAGAAGAAAAGTGAAAAGAGAATTAGGACGGAGGAAGTATCTAAAAACTATATCACAGGTTATACAGAAGAGGCGTCTTGACTATTTTATTTTATAAAATTATCCGTATAAATATTTAAGGAAAGACGATATAGTTTGCCTTTTAAATACTAAAGAAATAGTTTGGGACAAAGTAATAAATTGTTGATTGAGTTTTATTTTTGTTTGCTAGTGCATGTAAAACAACAACAAACCAAATGCATTCTCGTAGAGTGGGGTCTGAGGAGGGTGTGTAGTAAATAGACTGGGGTCTAAGGAGGGTGTGTGTACGCAGACTTTACCTCTACTCAAGAAATAGAAAGGTTTCCAGGAGACCCCGACTCAAAACACATGATCATCACAATGCCAATGGAAAGTGACACGAACGAAGTAAGACAACAAACAAATAAAAACAAACTCACTTGCAGACACTAAAGTGTCAACTAAGGCACAAAGCCACAAAAGCATTCAAACATAAATACTTTGAACTAAAGCCCAAAGGTCTATCATACCACCACCATCCTAGACCTCCATATGTTGTTATCTAAGGTCATATCCTGGGTGAGACCTTGAAGTTATCGGTTCTGCCTAACCACCTTGTTTCAACTCTTCTTAGGTCTACCTCTTCCCCTCCTAATGCCCCCTACCACATCCACTAGCCTCTCACACCTCATCTCTGAAGCATATGTACTTCTCCTCAGTACCTCCCCATTACGCATATCTACTTATCTTCCCAAACCATTTAAGTGTATAGATAAAGCTTGGGTATGTATAAAGATTTTTGTCCAACCAAAATGTTCGAACCAAACAAAGGAGATAGAGAGAACATGTCCATTGTACTTTTTTTATGCATTATCCTTAACATTGCATGCATATTAATCCATGTCGCATGTGATCGCAGTGACCATTTGTTCCCAAGCAACTGCTGCACTAAGCTTATTGCGGGAAAGAAGAGGCTGTTTTGATATTGTACTAAGTGATGTTCATATGCCTGATATGGACGGTTTCAAACTCCTTGAGCATGTTGGGCTTGAAATGGACCTTCCTGTGATCAGTGAGTGATTATTTCTCTGCCTTGAATGCATGAAATCTTTGTTGGAATTGATACCATACCCTTCTAATGTTTTTGCAGTGATGTCGGCAGATGAAAGAACTAATCTTGTAATGAGAGGAGTTCAACATGGGGCTTGTGATTATCTTATTAAGCCTATACGTCATGAGGAACTGACAAATATCTGGCAACATGTTGTTAGGAAGAAGTGTAATCTAAATAAAGAAAATGACCATTCTAGCAGTTTTGAAGATAATGATCAAGCTAAACAGGGAACTGATGATGCTGAATATGCTTCACCCATCATTGAAAGAGCTGATGGAGTATTGAAGTCTGCAAAAAAGAAAAGAGAGTCTAAAGAAGATGATGATCCTGAAATGGAAAATGATGACACAGCTGCTGCAAAGAAGCCGCGTGTGGTTTGGTCAGTGGAACTTCATCAGCAGTTTGTTAGTGCTGTTAACCAACTTGGGATTGATAGTATGAGCTTTTGCATCAAACTTAAATGAATTGTATATACAAAATATATCCCTACCAATGGATTTCTTATTTTCATGTTCTAGCTAATATGCTGTATTTCTTTACAGAGGCTGTGCCTAAGAGAATCCTAGAGCTAATGAACATTCCTGGGTTAACAAGGGAAAATGTTGCTAGTCATTTGCAGGTCTGAATGCATTTCAGAAATGTTTTTAGTATCTTACTTTTCGTGTTCACCATTTTCCTTTCACATATAGATCTAGAATGGGAGAACCACAAGCACTTCAATTACATATCTCCATTAAATAGGGTGCACCTGTTGATAACTCAGCTGTATGATAGTATGACTAAAAAGCTAATCTTATGTTGTAAATTCTAAAGCTGTGCTGTTAGACATGGTTAAGAGATGGATTTTTTTAGGTGATTGGGAAGAATAGGAAATCACAAAGAATTTGATCCTGTTTGTATATGATTTTGAAGCTCAAGCATCTTAGGAATTAATATTTGCCATCAATGAAGATGTTGGAGTTAGCTCGTCAAATAAATTTCAATTTGTTAATCAGTTCAAAGTACCTTATTAATTAGCGTTCCCAATTAATTTGATCAGTTGTATACTTGTATTATGTTGCAAATTTCCCTGTTTCTGATAATGTTTTATGCATCATTAAATGCTCTTTGAATAAACTGTCTTTTCAAATAATTATTTCATAATTCACAACAGATATGCAGCTTTTTAGCATCCCCAGTCGGTAGTCATTCCTGATGATTTGACAATATTGTATCTATCGATATGCTTAGGACACATTTGAGTGATGATTCCATGAAAAGTAGTTACGGCGTGTTTTCCTAGACATATATATTAATATACGGAGTATGTAAAGCAGATAGATCCCAGTTTTTTTTTGGAAGAGTTGGTATTTTATTTATTAGTACTTTGTTTATCTGACCTATATGGAATCATTATTTTTCTACAAAAAGTCATCTGATCATTTATTGTCTCACTAAATAGAGTCATAGAGAAATTCCATTTCTGGCATTTTAAAAGTAATTGTACTTCATAATACGAGAGCAGGAGAGGGTATTGGTAATATGCTGGATAAGTAGATATGTCTCTTGTCTTGCATTATCTCTAGCTAATCTCATCTGACTACTGCTGAAATGTGAAATTTAATTATTGTCCAAATTGTTGAAGAGGCCAAGCCCATATTTGTCTTTTAATATTACCCATTTCTCTTTGTAATATTTTTTACTTGCATGCAGAAATTTAGGCTTTATTTGAAAAGGTTGAGTGGATTTGCTCAACAGGGTGGACTACTGAATTCCTTCTGTGGACCAATTGAATTGAATCCAAAGATGTATGACATACAAGCACTAGCAGCCTCATGCCAAATCTCTCCCCAAACATTGGCAGCTCTTCATGCCGAGCTTCTAGGGCAACCATCTAGTGGTCTAGGTTTGCCAACAATTGACCATCCAGCTCTGCTACGCATCTCTGCAGGGACCCAAATATATTCCTGACAATCAAGATGTGTCTTATGGTCAGCCTCTGATGAAGTGCCCGCCAAAGATCTCCAAGCAAGTCAATCAACATTTGCCAACTGAGAATATTTCTTCTGCTGTTGGAGCTTGGCCTCCAAAAAACATTTGTGTGGTTCCTAGTGTTGATATTAGTGGTGTAGGTGCCCAACACAGTAATAATATGTTAGCAACAGTGTTGAAACATCATCAGCAATGCCAAACTCAGCAACTAGTGGGGCAACCACAGAAGTTATCTACTAGCCCGGAATTTTGCCGCCCAGTTAGTGTGCAGCCCTCTTGCCTAGTGGTTCTCGCCACCAATTCTCAAAGCACAAATAACCTGGCTTCAATAAGCCAGACCAACAATTTTAGCAACAGTAATGATGTTATAGATTCCAGAATTCTTTCTCCTCAATCAGGTAATTCGTCATTGGGTCCAGTTTAAGTACCAAATAGGGAACAAAATTATTAGGCGACACAAGTTGCCTAACCTTGTTGCACTCGCTCCTGCAAAAGTTTTCCCACTTTCCTTTTTCATCGGTTCCCAAATAGTTTTCCCATTTTCTCTCTCCTTTTAGAAAAAAGACTTGGTCCAAAATACTTCTCTTTCTAAATAAATTATATCCACTCACTTAAAAATTTTCAACACTTTTTCAACGCTTTCCTTTATCTCCATGAAGTCAAAGTGAGAAATATAATTTGGGACTGGTGTATTCATGTATGGTGTTTTATTTTTTAGCATTATAAATATGAATATATGATATTTTCAGTTTTTTTGTTGTTTTTGGAATTTTGAATTGTTTAACATGACCACTTTATAATTTAAATTTGGCTACATTACATTGGTAATTTGAAACTTATTAATGTGTGTGTGTGTGTGTGTCGCCTAGGCGAGCGCCTAACCGATTAGCTTATGTGAAGGTTTCTTGCATCTCTCCTTCTCGCCGTAACAACTATGGTTTTAATATGTTTTCTGCTACAGGTTCTCTCTCTCCATCTGTCGCATCATGCTGTGCAAATGCTGATAACCGCACTAGCTGGCAAATTCAGAACTCAGCTTGCATGATTAGCAGTGCTAATAGAGATCTGGAAGGCATTGAACCTAACCTTGGCATTCCTGTTCAAAACCATCAGAAACCTGACCAATTACTTGACCAGGAGCCTGCTAAGAATCTTGGGTGTGCCAGTAGGGGATCATCCATTCCTAGTCGATTTGCTGTTGATGAATCTCAACTATCAATAAGCAACATACATCATTCTAGAGTCTACAATGAAAATAATACATGCATAGTGAAGCAGGAGCCGGGTATGAATATTGTTGGCAATAAAAATGTTGGGGTCCAAATGCTCCGAGGAATTCCTCGAAATGACTTCATGAGTGTTCTCTTCTAATTAGGTGAGTTTAAGCTGATTTCAACTTCTGCATTATTTGATAGCAGTACAGCCTTCCTATTTTGAAACATGTGGCGCGCACACACACACACACACACACACACACACACACACACACACACATATATATATATTAGTTTGGTCTATCTTTTTATTTGTACCAAAGTTTGGCTTGAAATAATTATGATATTTTTTGTAAATGTTCCAAATAAAAATTGAAAATTGCCCATGTTGTGATATGTTTCTAACCATCCGGTGCTAGGATTCAAATTGTAACAAAAGTATCCTAGATCCTAGAATCCAGTTTGATTACCTGATTCTGCTGGAATGGTAGGAGAAACTTACTCCCCAATTCCGGAGTATGTGTCTAGCATTCCTTTATGGGCAGTCAAAGACTATCTTTCCTTTAGGCAAAACACAAATGAGATGATTTACCCTCTATGGCTCTATTCTTTTGGGTTGTAAAAACATGAAGTGTATGTTATTGGCCGATTCTCTGAAGCTTTCTTTGTTTTGCATTCGACTCCCTGCAGGTTTTATTAAAAAAAAAAATTGTATATGCTGGATGATGTATGATGATGCGTTTCAAACGGTCCGAAATTATGAAGGGCGTGACAGTTAATATGCTTACATTGAGGTGATACTATTCAAAAATCAGAATTGGATGAATAAAGGTAAATATTCTTGGCCTTCGTGTGTTGAATGAACTGATGAGCTTAAGATGAGTGGTGTAAAATTGTTCATGGAGTGCAAGTTCTACAAATGCAGTGTTCAGTGTTGTTTGTTTAGGGAAATAAAAGTCTAGGATTGTCATGCCATGTAAGAATGAATATTCACTTGACTGGGCACTCTCTTTGTAAATTTGTATGTATTTAATTTGTCACATTCATTATTGTGCACGTTTTTGCTTTCTCCCAACTTTCTAGCCTCGGAAAGGCGGGTATAAGTACTTACCTATATAAAAAAAGAGTCCAAACTTGCCCTATTCATAAGTCGCTGCCCACATTACTGGTGATGAATTGGTGTAAGTGTGTAAACTTTTGATTGAGTTAGTTTCTTGACAAATACCCTGTATATTAACATTATACCCTTGTGTTGCAAGTCGGCTCTTAAGAGCATTGGCAGCAGCAAAGCATCTCCTTTCCTCGTGTTGGCACATCGGCCATCATCCCTTGCTTGGCATGGAATGACAAGAGCGTTCCCACCCTGCCAAGTGAGCCATGTGCGAGGTAGTCTCTTCAAATTTATTTTGTACAAGAAGGATTTTTTTTAAAAGTACACCTAATTTTATGAGAAAAAAAAAGTAAAATGAACTTTAATAATTAAAATAATTCAAAAAATTGTAAAAAAATGATTTTAAAAAATGAAGAAAATGAATATTAGGAACAAATTATAGAAATTATTTTCCAAATGAAGCAACATATATCCTATCAAAGTTCTATTCATTTTTGTACACACGTTTTAAATACATTTTGATTTTAGTTTTACACATGTCTGTTTTTCCGTTTACAGCATTTAAATTTTTTTTCAACTTTACAACGTTTCAGTTTTTTCAGTTCTAACTTCTAAACCATAAGCGAGGGAGGGGGTCTAGCTATATCACACTTCAGAGTATTAACATACAATCTTCCTTTTCTTGGAATATTCATAAACATGGTAATCAATTTTATACTTTACTCTCTCTTAAAATATAAATATGTCGACATTTAATTCTCTTTTCAAAATAAATTTTAAGCGCACAATTTTTTCATCAAATAACTCACTTCATGCAGATTGTAAGTGCACAATTTTTTCATTAGATAACTCACTTCATGCAGACTGTAAAGTTTTTTAAAAGACGAGATAGTAAGGAGTAATTAATGTCTCTTCATCCCTTCCCCTCTTTAACCAAACAAGACTTATTAAAAACTCCCTCCGCATCTCCCCTCCAACTCCAACGAAGCACAATTTAAGTTGGAATAGAAACTTCAGGAAAAAAATAATGAGAGGAATGGCAAAGAAATACCAACTGTGAAATTTCTAAGGCATTGTTTGATACTCGAGAAATGGATAGAAACTAAGCTTTAAAATTCAAGTGACCAAAATTCAATCATCAAGCAGTAACAAATTATTATATCCTCAACCAAAAATCAAAATATCAATTATGACAAAGATGAAATAGGGTAACATCAAGTGATTCAAGTCATCAACAAGTGGAACACAAAACATCTAACACGATTGATTAATGGAGTTCAACAACAGAACTAGCAGTTAAATTTGACACAAAAAAGAAGAAGAAGATGATGATGATGATGAAAAACTAGTTGTAACAAAACACTGCAGAATCTTCTTTAATATCGACCCACCAAAACGAAATCATCATCGTCGAGAGCTTGGACATCTTTTTCTTCTATAAAGTTTTCTTGGCCAATATCGGTCACAATCTTCACAAACTCCTCCCTTTTTGCCTTGGGAAGTGGAACATAGGGAAGGCGAAATATGGGCCTAGCGACCCCAAGCTGTGCCATGGCTGTATTTAAACCAATAGGGTTTGGTTGTTCAAACAGCCATTTTATCAAAGGAAGAAGCTTTGCGTTCAGTGTCGGGTTCTTTCCTCCAAACATAAGTTGTCTCATCAGACCAGGGACCAGGTTGCTCGCTACAGAAATGACACCTGTCGCACCATGACCCCACCTCGCATCATGGCATTCATCGTCTTTCCCGCTCCAAACAGCAATCCCGCTGCTTGTGTACTGCTCCACACGATCATTCCCAACACACTCTTTCACACCTGCCAGGTTAGGGCTCTTTGCCACCTTGTGAATCACGCTGGGTGGAATGTCTTGACCTGTTCTTGATGGGACGTTATAGATGATTGTGGGTCCCATTGGGAGCACGCCGTTAAAGTGAGAGACCATTCCCTCTAAGGATGTCTTGCCGTAGTAGGGATTGATGTGAAGGGCTGCATGCATCCCAACAGCAAAGCCTTGCTCTGTGGCATGGATCGCTTCCCTGGTTGAGTTGCTTCCTGTGTTCCCAATGACTTTGATGGACCCACCAAAGCAGTTGACGGTGTGGCCAATGAGCATGATGTGCTCATCCCAGCTCATCAATTGACCTTCACCGGTTGTGCCACCAACGATTACCCCTTCAACACCACTCTCAATCTGCATGTTCACTAAGGCATCATAGGCCTCAAGATCAAATCTTCCGTCAGGTAGATATGGAGTTTTTATTGCAGTAACCAATCTGAGTGCTTTTATATCCTCGGCATATGTCCTACCCAAAAAAAACAAGCGAAATCAATCAAGAAACAGGAAACTCATCTGGAACAGTCCTCCTAAGACTGACTCTTGTTACTACTGAAGAAATTGCTTAAAACAAGAGATGACTTTGCTGATATGGATAAACTTTCCCCATACTCCCCAAAAATTGGATATCAATGGTTAATGGGTCAAAAACAGTTACCTATCTGGGCAAGATAGGTTTGGAACAAATTCACTATCCCCAAACATAAAGTTATACTTTGGTTGATTTGCAAAGATAGACAACAGACAAAGCAAAGGATTAACATATTCTTCCCAGTAGACAACCTCTATCTACTGTGCAAAACTGAAGAAGATGTCAACATCTCTTCTGCAAATGTGTATACACAACAGCAGTGTATAGAGGGCTTGAAGAATGGATTAAATATAAATTTGAAGGGGGTATAATTGGAGATATCTTTGACAGGTTACAATGTGTTGGCCCTACCAAACTCAGATTGTCTGATTGCTATATTTGCTGCGTGTGCATATTTTGTCGGGAAAGCAAGGAACTTATCCTACATAAGAACACCTTCGCCCCAGTAGAGGAAACTATCCAGAATATCAAGTATCATGCTGGCACATTCCTCTCTGCCAAAGGGAGTTGTTATTATTAAGTTCCTTTTGCTTTGTATTAGTTCTCCTCTCATTATGTAGTTTGGGTGTAGTATTATAGTTGCTGTTTGTGTACTTTGATTGGATGCTTTGTACTGTGTTCTGTCATCAATAATATTTGGATTATTTGCAGTTGGTTCAAAAAAAAAGTACTAGTATTGGGGATAAAGTAAGGAAAGACAAATTTCATTTCCCACTCTCATAAAGCATCCATCTAAAATATTTTTGGAAGTTACAACAAACTTTTAGTTACTTAAAAAGTTATCCTAATCACTCTTTTCAAACAATCCATGATCATGCCCAATAAAACTTGAGAAGTTGAACAAAATAGATAAAATGTTAGTTTTCCTCAACCCAAAGAAACAAAAAGCGAGAAGAATGCAACAACAACGACAACAACAAGCCAGTTCAGTCCCACAAAAGTAGGGTCTTAAGAGGGTGTGTTTGCGCAGCAAGAAGAATGAAGAAGAAAAAAAACTTCTTTAATTGGTAATTTAATATATCTAGTGCACAAGAGCTTGACACATGCATCATTGTTTCCTTATCATCCTTACAATATAATCCCAAAAAACGAAAAAGGATATTGAGAATAAGATGAGGATTTCATGTGCATCTACACAGAAGATTCATATAACTGTATGATGAGAGTACCTAAGAGAGATCAAAAAATGGTATAAGCAATTAGAGTGTTCTATCACATCATGTTACCTCCACTGCATGTGTTTTAAAAAACACAAGAGATATGCCACACGAAGGTATTAGAGAAGGAAAATTCATAGTTATTAAATTACTTCTCGACAAAAGATATCATTCACATTGAGCTGCTGACAGTAAGGTATGTTTAATTTGCCTTAAGTTTAACTAAAGCAAGTTCGGAGTCTAAAACCTGGAGTTTGAATGCAATAGTAATTTTAACTAAAATCGGGATATTGGAGTCTAGAGTCTCGAATATAAAGTTGAAAAGAGCATGCCCTAAGTCTAGTGCTAAAAAAATCATTCTAAATTTTTTAAATAGATGCATAACACAACATCCAAACTAAGGAATAATATTGTCTTCATCCATTGAGCTGATACCCAATAAGCAGAAAGGAAAGGAAAAGGAGAAACCAACAGAAGTTCCCAAAAAGGTAGTCCCTCCTAAGAACTATAGGAAGCCGGACAGACCTCAAAGAGGAAATAATTTCAGAAGAAAACCTTCTAACCCCCACTATACACGAGGCTATACTCATTATGGGATAGATAGGAGTTTTCCAAGAAATTCTGAGTGGAGAACTATGCCAAGATATAGTCATCCTCCACCCCAGAAACTATTTGTGCCACCTAAGTATGCTCAGAACCGTCACAAGTCACACTATGCACAACCTAGACAAAACTATAGGTCTTATCAACCTAGGTTTGCTAGGAGGAAACAGGAAATTGCACCTCCTGCACGTAAGAAGTTTTATGCCTACAACTATGATTACAATCCCAACAAGTTTAGGGCTGAAAGGAAAATTCCCTTTAACTTCAAACTTGATGTAGGGACACACACCATAAACTATTCTGGACCCAAACTGAATTGGGTACCAAAATTTTCCTCCTTCTAATGCAGAAAGCCACTAAGTACCCAGGTGTCTGGTACTTAGACAGTGGCTGTTCAAGACACATGACGGGTGATGCGAGCCTTTTGAGCAATCTAATTCCCTATGATGGTCCAAGAGTTACTTTTGGAGGGAGCAATGATTTTGGTCTAACTAAAGGGCTAGGAAATCTGGTGTACAAGGGACTAACCATCCAAGCTGTATCTTATGTTGAAGGTCTCAATTACAACCTTCTTAGCATAAGTCAGTTTTATGATAAAGGTTACTCCTTGGAATTCTGCAAGGACATGGCATCTCTCAAGAACATCTCCACAAATGAAGTCATTCTCACTGGGAAGAGAATCAGAAACATCTATGAAGTAATGTGGGACAATGTCAAGGAAGCATGTCTAATCAGCAAAAGTGACACTAACCTTCTATGGCTTTGGCATAAGAGGTTGAGTCATCTCAACTTCAAAACTCTCAACAAGCTGTCCAAAGAAGGGTTAGTAGAAGGTCTTCCCAAAGCTGTATTCAGGAAGGAAAGCATTTGTGATGCTTGCCAGAAAGGAAAGCAAGTCAAGTCTACTTTCAAGGCAAAACCGGCACCCTCAACTACAAGGATATTAAGTCTTATTCACATGGACTTATTTGGCTATGTTACACCAATAAGTCTAAGCAGAAAGAAATATGTCCTGGTGGTATTTGATGATTACTCAAGATACACGTGGACAATCTTCCTCAACGGCAAGAAGGAAACTCAAGGAAAACTCACTAACTGCATGAAGCTGATTCAAAACCAAGCAAGTCAGACCATTCAGAAGATCAGATCTGACAAAGGCACAGAATTCCTGAATGAAATCATCATTCATTACTATGAAGAAAACGGAATTCTTCATCAGACATCCGCAGCAAGGACGCCTCAACAAAATGGTGTAGCTGAAAGAAGAAACAGAAACTTAAAGGAAGCAGTAAGGACCATGCTAGTCGAAGCTTCTTTGCCAAAGAGGTTCTGGGCTGAAGCTGTTAACACAGCTTGCTATACTCAAAATAGGAGTATGATTTATAAAAGGCACAACAAAACTCCCTATGAACTATGGAACGGGAGAAAGCCTAATATATCATATTTCCATATTTTTGGGAGCAAGTGCTTTGTGTTAAAAAATGGGAAGAATCATCTGAACACTTTTGATGAGAAATCAGATGAGGCCATATTCCTAGGATATTCTATGGTGAGCAAGGCATTCAGAGTCTTCAACAAAAGAACCATGATCACTGAAGAGTCAATACATGTCATTTTTGATGAAAAACATGTGGTTGACAAGCCATCAAAGCATGATCATGAGATTCTGGATCTATCAGACAAGGATGAAGAAGTCAATAAAGGAGATAGAATGAAGTCCACGGAGTTCATTCCATTCAGAAATCTACCACTAAAGACTTCTCAAAGAAATCCGGATTCAGATAGTGCTGAGCCTACCGGAAATCATGGCCAGCCTCCCATTATTCCGGATCACTCAAATGGCGACAATTCCGGAAATGGCAACTCAGTGCCAATCCATCCGGAATCACAAACAAATTCTGTTCTCAACCAGAAGCTGAACTAGATCAAACAGTCAACCCTAATCAACACAATCTTCGTTGGTTAAGGGATCACCCTCCTCAACAGATCATTGGAGATATTCAATCTAGTGTTCGCACAAGGAGTGCCCAACAGAATCTAGAAGCCATGCTTGTTTGTTTCATCTCACAAGTGGAACCAAAGAATATTGAAGAAGCTCTAGCTGATTCTAATTGGATCAATGCAATGCAAGAAGAACTCAACCAATTTTCCAGAAATGACGTCTGGAAACTTGTTCCCAGACCTACTCATCAACATGTCATTGGGACAAAGTGGGTGTAACGCCCCAAAATATAACCTAAAATTTATTGGATTAAATATTCAATTAAACAAAATTTGTTTTGATTAAAATAAATTATTGTTGGGCTTTGGGCCGAAATAAAATATACATTGATGTCCAATAAATATACTTGGGATAAATCTCATAGAGATAAATCCAACCTGTTGACTTATTGTGTGATCTTGATTGGGAACCTGAGTACAGACCCAAATTAAGAATAAATGAAGAAATTGTTTATAATGTGAATTTTGAAATGCTTTATTGAATAATGAAAATAAGTTATATGGATTAAATATGAAAACCTTTTTATGATAAAAGTTAATTAAACCAATTTTGACTCTGTCAAAGTCAACCACCCAAAAATATGATGTCGGAAAAAGTATAGCGAATAAATGTAAAAATTATATCATTAGATAGAGTTTAATTGTACGATCACAACGGTGCAAACGGATTTCAATTCGGTGAAAGTTGGACCAAAAAGTGTACCCCGACCGGGACCAAAATTAGTCCCAATCAGAGAGCAGCGTGTGAATCTCGCAGAAGGTGATTTCCGCCGTTTGAAATCGGCTAGTTGATTCCTGACTCAGCATTCTACGTCTTCTTCTCCATCACCTTCCTATATAAGCAATGCTAAACCATTCCATTTCTTCACCAAATCAGCTTATTCTTCTTCCTATTCTGTTCTTGAGAGTGTGAGGAGTATTGTGGTGCTATCAATTTGGTGAGAGGTCGCCGGAGCTAACCACAAACCTCACCGGAAGTTTCGTCGGAAAATATCCAAAACCTTCATTTACCTTCGAGGTAAGCCCGTTGATATATCTAATGACTAGAATGTTCATATAGGTCGTTTCTACGTTCATAAATGGTCATTTGGTTGAGTTTTGTGTTTGACATGTTTGAAGAACTAAGAATCATACACCTTGAAATTGTTGTTAAAACTACGAATTAATGACTCTAAAATGATCTGTGAACATTGGAAAACCTTTCTATATAATTTAATTGAAGTTTGGTGATTAAAAATGATAATATTCAAAACTGGCCAGAGGAAGAAGATGATGAACAGTAGCCGAAAATCGATTATTTACTTCTTAAGAATCGATTAGAATTATGTCCAGACGAGGATGTTCGAAGTCAGTATATACATAATCGATTATTCTAATTATACAAATAAATTTAAATGTATTAATCGATTATTTAATAACTAAATATCGATTTTAGGGTATTAATTGATTATTTAAAATGTAAAAACCGATTTTTAAGTATTAATGGATTATTTTAAATATAAAAATCGATTTTTAGGTAGTAATGGATTATTTTAAATATAAAAATCGATTTTTAGGTATTAAATTATTAATTTAAAAATAAAAATTGATTTTTCTCAAGTCTAGACCCTGTTCCGAAAAATATTCTGAAAATATATGCTCTAAAATCCACCAACTGATTATGATCATTGGAAAAATGATTAATCATAATAAAAATGATGTTTTTAACAAATAAAAATGTTATGTGATGTATGACGGTAAGTTAGGGTGTTAACACCCGAAGCTAGGCCGCTATTTGCTATCGAATATTATGATGATTGATGATTATGATGAATGATTATTATGATGATTATGGCTTGGTGAAATCACTAATTAAATTGATTATCAAGGACTTAATTATGAATTGAAATGAATATGTTGATGATCATGAAATGATTTGGATGGTAAGGATATCTAGAAGAACTCTAAGATATACCTAGGTTGACTTTGGTTTCTAAGACTATCGAGAAGACCTCTAAGATAGCTTAGAAATAAGCCTTGCGGGTATAATCATGAATATTCGGTGGCCTGAGTTAAAACGTACGTACGGGATCTACAAACCAAACTTGAGGCACTCGTTTGGGGATACCACCCGACCCGACAGTGAGCATTTCGGATCCGCTATTCGGTTTTTGGATGACCTTAATCGAAGGTAAGTTTAAGATTTTGAAAACCTCTTTTTGAAAATTTATATCTTAAACTAGGCCTAGCTTAAGGGTTAGATAAGAGTACCTTAAACTTGAATATAGTTTAACTATGTTAGACTAGAATTCGTTTAAGAGTTGGTAAACATCAAATAGATTGGCCTTAGACTAAGAATAGTTTAAGGATATTGTTGAATGACAAATGATGAATATTGTATGATGAATGTTGAATATGAATGGCAAATATACATGTTGAATGATTGAATAATGAATGTTGAAAATTAAATGTTGATTATTGAATATCTGAACTGAACATTATGTGCATGATATCAAATGATTTGATTATGAATTGAGATACAATTTATATGGATGTTCGACGCATTAAATATGCTTACTCAGCTTTACCGCTGAGCGTGTAGTGTGTTTTATTTGCTACACGCAAGTCAATAGAATGATGTGACGCGATCCTGGAGGCAGACGGAGGCGAGATAGTCGGAATGGATGTGATGGTTTTGAATTAAAGAATATAAATAAATTATGTTTGTGATTATAATTTGTTAAGCTTCCGCAATATTGAAAACTCTGTACTGTTTATAATATGTAAAAATATTATTATAATAAATAAAAGTGTTTGGAAAGTTTTAAATTTTACGATTACCAAGTTAATACTTTAGTCCGAAAGGGGCTGCAGACCTGGACGGATTAGGGTGTTACAATTTGGTATCAGAGCAAATGGTTTTAAACCCGATCTTCGGATCAAAATTTGATATTAAAAAAAAAATGTCAATCACATCCACGACTCTCGCATCCCTCTGCTCCAGGAAAGGTATGAGAAATTACTTGGTAAATATTTACTCTGTTAGAATTCTCATTGATTGAGAATTGATTAGTACTGAAATCATATCGAGCATAGACTCTAGTAGAACTTTCGTACTCAGTGAAGAGATGAAATAATGAACGAAAAATATATGACCCTCTGATCCGTTATTAATGTTTGCATCGCATCGCGAAGGACGAAACTGATCTGCATCGCGAAGTTGTATGAAAGTGAGATGACTCTGAAGAAACAATAAATGTTGAGAAACATCTGTGAAGCCGATGTCAAAGATACTCATGTGGACTCAAGACGATCTAATCGCTGATTCAAACAAGAACATTTAGAATTAATAAAACTCTGTTATCTAAGGTATCCCCTTCTGATGTCTAACTCATTAAGATGCAAATATGCGATTATATCTTAGGAATTGAAATCGTTCATTAAGCGACAACTCCTTGCAAAACTTCGTTGAAATACCATACAAGGAATTTGACAATTTTCCTTAGTATACATTGGCTGATCGAATGATGTTAGTATTGACAACTCTTGACGAAGAATTCTTTAACTGAAGATCGATGATGGAAACCTTATATAGGTGAAAGCAAAGCTGATTCCTAAACCGACCGAGTTCATCTCGAATTTATGCAAACCTCTCAACTAAAAGGAGCATAAAGTCTTTTCGTGTGATACGCGAAGGAAAAATCTGAACTGAAGAAACGTATCAAACGTATGACACCTCTTTGATATGAACTTCCAATTATCTCATTGTTCCGAGAAATTGATTTCTCTATCAATCTTGATCCTATAAGGACCAATATTCGTAACTCTGTATTGAACATGTTTCCGTTAATGACTTCTTGACAAAAGAATCATCTGATCAAGTGTTTCCTCCTTGGGAGAATACCTGTTTTGTTCATACGCGAATCAATAAGACTCTATATCAACTACTATCAGTTGAACAATTTGTTATCCTTTACCTCGTATCATGACTTATTTGATCAACTTAGAGAATCCATTGTATTCTCTAGGATTGACTTACGGTCAGGATACTAACAAATCTCTGTTAAGAAACTTGAACAAACTGTCGATCCAGAATGGCTATCCTTTACTATTAACTCATGACTTATTCGATCAAATTCAAATAACCTGTTTGTTTGAAGCTATAAGCGGTTCAACCTTGTTGAAAGATTTAATGCCTTGTGATGAAGTGAAAAATGACCTAATTACTTATCATCAGAAACGTCAATGTAATTTGATTGAATAAATGAAGTAAAGTGATGTTCACAAAACAAATCAATAAGATAGGTTACTCGTTCGAATATCCTATCGACGTGGAAGATTGTGACGTAGTGATACAAAAACAAGATGTGAAACAGTGACACCAACAGTGAAAGACTGAAGAACGAAGAAATGTAGCTCGTACTGTCCATACCACGTAAATTAAAGGATAATATCATTCCGACACAAATACAACTCGGATTACATGAAGTAATATTACAAATGTAACTCCAAATCTAATCCCCCAGGATTTGCGAACTCGTCATAATTAGCCCCAAAAGCCGGAAAAGCTTTAGCAAACTCTAGCTTGTCTAAAAGCTCACCAACAAAGAAAGAAGAAATAAAAAGTTTTCTCTGACTAGAAGCCATGAAGTTCTGCCTCACCGCTTCGTCTAGAAATTTGATTAGGTTATTGAAATAACCATCAATATTCAAAAGACCAATGGGTCTATTGTGTAATCCTTCAGAAGCCCATGAAATCAAGGTGAACAAACCTTCCATAGTGTCAACTCCTCCGGGAAGAATGATGAAAGCTTCCACGGCGTGATTCATCTCGAAATACTTGTAATAGTTGCTGGAAACTGTATGCTCTACACCGTAAGTAGGTCCGTAGACACCTCGTGTTGCTATGTACCCAGGAATGAAACCTCTAACGAGGCCACCATTGGTAAAGACTGTTGAAGCAACAGCTCTTTGAAGACCAACACTACCTCCTCCATAGGCAAGTTTAATCTTTCGCCTTATCAACTCTCTTCCTAAAGCTACCGCAGTAGCCATAAACTTTGGATTTCTACCAAGAGAATGACTCCCAAGTAGACCAACGAATCTTATGGTAAAAGGAAGTGTTCGAGAATTTCCTTCCATAATGTGAGAATGTGAAATACTCGTTTCATGATCCTGATCTTTATAGCCTCTGAACCTGACCATTGATAGAAATGTTATTATCACCAGCCAAAATACATACAGTAAAATGGATTCAAATTACCTACAGACGAAAACCTACTCGCTAATATTATAGTCTGCTAACGATACGACGTATTGAGACCCTTGAACAATCAGATTCGCTGTCCTGGAAAAACGTTCAAATCTGAGATGAAAAGTCAAAATGGCTATTTCCTAAGACAACGACCTCTTGAGTAACTTCTAAAGAGTGAAACATTGAAGGAAGAAAACCTACGATTAGTAACAGTAATTCGCAAACGCTGTCTTGACATCTTGTGACTCATATCCTTGAAATACTCAAACTTGTTGTGTTAACTACACTCTTAAAAATATCTCGCTTGATCAATCTTGAAAAGATTGAATTCCATTCTTTGTATCAAAATACTAAAACCATGATTCTTCAGTGGAACCAAAACAGTACTCGGTGATACCATGATATCAATCTTTGAAAACTATACCCTGTGAAATACGTGACTCGATCACAATAGTAAAACTATCCCCACTTAAACATTATGTTAAACCTCTCTTTGTAGACTACAAAATGATCAATACGATTACGCTATCTCCAAAGACTATTATCAATTATATTGTTACAATCCTAGCAAGGAAATGTATGTGTGACAACTAGAGAAGAAATGACGTCAATAGGCTGAAGTGAAGATCTCGAACCTATATGCGATGTTGGTATAAGAACTAGTGACGATTCCTCACTCTATGAATTCATGAATTGAATCACGTACAGAAGATATTATCTTTTTCCTCGAAAGAGATCAGCCATAGTGCTACAATCAAATCTGTCGTTATCATATCTAGATATGTTTTCAAATTAATAGAAGTTTGAATACGACAAATCATACATGAAACGCTACACGAACGTCATCACTTATGAGTACGAAGACTCATTAAAAACGATAAATGAGAGCTACTATGAAGATGAATGAAGAAATGTTTCGACATAAGGTCGATGAATGACGAACTACTGTACAATCGATCAACAGTATTTCCTCCTAAATGATGACAAATCCTATATCCTGAAAATATTGGACCACTAAAAGACCTTTGACGTAATTGTGAATCATTGTTGAACTATGTGAACGATACGAAGATATCTCAAAGTGAAATTTACGTTATGATGTGTGAATTGAAGACAACTCCAAGAAAAAAAAAATCTCCCACTACATCTATCGCGAACTTGATAATTTGAAACTGCAAAGTCTACTGAAGGACTTTCAATCAAAAGAAGAAATATCAACGTTGTACAATTGGGAATTGTGAATAAACGAAGTTATGTGCGAGTATGTCAAATATACAACCGTATACACTCCAAAGAAACCTTAGTTGTTGAAACTGAAGGATCACTGAATGTCTTGCTTAATGAAAGATTGTTAATCTCTTGAAGAAAGAACGAGTTTCATAACATCAACAATTTGAGAATAACTATCCATGTGGATAATGACGTGATTATGATTTAACTGAATGAACATGACGCGATTATGATTAAGTGCGATCACAACAAAATGTTGAACGTTGAGCCTTAGAAGAATTTCGAGGACGAAATTCCTTTAAGGGGGGAGAAATCTAACGCCCCAAAATATACCCTAAAATTTATTGGATTAAATATTCAATTAAACAAAATTTGTTTTGATTAAGATAAATTATTGTTGGGCTTTGGGCCGAAATAAAATATACATTGATGTCCAATAAATATATTTGGGATAAATCTCATAGAGATAAATCCAACCTGTTGACTTATTGTGTGATCTTGATTGGGAACCGGAGTACAGACCCAAATTAAGAATAAATGAAGAAATTGTTTATAATGTGAATTTTGAAATGCTTTATTGAATAATGAAAATAAGTTATATGGATTAAATATGAAAACCTTTTTATGATAAAAGTTAATTAAACCAATTTTGACTCTGTCAAAGTCAACCACCCAAAAATATGATGTCGGAAAAAGTATAGCGAATAAATGTAAAAATTATATCATTAGATAGAGTTTAATTGTACGATCACAACGGTGCAAACGGATTTCAATTCGGAGAAAGTTGGACCAAAAAGTGTACCCCGACCGGGACCAAAATTAGTCCCAATCAGAGAGCAGCGTGTGAATCTCGCAGAAGGTGATTTCCGCCGTTTGAAATCGGCTAGTTGATTCCTGACTCAGCATTCTACGTCTTCTTCTCCATCACCTTCCTATATAAGCAATGCTAAACCATTCCATTTCTTCACCAAATCAGCTTATTCTTCTTCCTATTCTGTTCTTGAGAGTGTGAGGAGTATTGTGGTGCTATCAATTTGGTGAGAGGTCGCCGGAGCTAACCACAAACCTCACCGGAAGTTTCGCCGGAAAATATCCAAAACCTTCATTTACCTTCGAGGTAAGCCCGTTGATATATCTAATGACTAGAATGTTCATATAGGTCGTTTCTACGTTCATAAATGGTCATTTGGTTGAGTTTTGTGTTTGACATGTTTGAAGAACTAAGAATCATACACCTTGAAATTGTTGTTAAAACTACGAATTAATGACTCTAAAATGATCTGTGAACATTGGAAAACCTTTCTATATAATTTAATTGAAGTTTGGTGATTAAAAATGATAATATTCAAAACTGGCCAGAGGAAGAAGATGATGAACAGTAGCTGAAAATCGATTATTTACTTCTTAAGAATCGATTAGAATTATGTCCAGACGAGGATGTTCGAAGTCAGTATATACATAATCGATTATTCTAATTATACAAATAAATTTAAATGTATTAATCGATTATTTAATAACTAAAAATCGATTTTAGGGTATTAATTGATTATTTAAAATGTAAAAATCGATTTTTAAGTATTAATGGATTATTTTAAATATAAAAATCGATTTTTAGGTAGTAATGGATTATTTTAAATATAAAAATCGATTTTTAGGTATTAAATTATTAATTTAAAAATAAAAATTGATTTTTCTCAAGTCTAGACCCTGTTCCGAAAAATATTCTGAAAATATATGCTCTAAAATCCACCAACTGATTATGATCATTGGAAAAATGATTTACCATAATAAAAATGATGTTTTTAACAAATAAAAATGTTATGTGATGTATGACGGTAAGTTAGGGTGTTAACACCCGAAGCTAGACCGCTATTTGCTATCGAATATTATGATGATTGATGATTATGATGAATGATTATTATGATGATTATGGCTTGGTGAAATCACTAATTAAATTGATTATCAAGGACTTAATTGTGAATTGAAATGAATATGTTGATGATCATGAAATGATTTGGATTGTAAGGATATCTAGAAGAACTCTAAGATATACCTAGGTTGACTTTGGTTTCTAAGACTATCTAGAAGACCTCTAAGATAGCTTAGAAATAGGCCTTGCGGGTATAATCATGAATATTCGGTGGCCTGGGTTAAAACGTGCGTACGGGATCTACAAACCAAACTTGAGGCACTCGTTTGGGGATACCACCCGACCCGACAGTGAGCATTTCGGATCCGCTGTTCGGTTTTTGGATGACCTTAATCGAAGGTAAGTTTAAGATTTTGAAAACCTCTTTTTGAAAATTTATATCTTAAACTAGGCCTAGCTTAAGGGTTAGATAAGAGTACCTTAAACTTGAATATAGTTTAACTATGTTAGACTAGAATTCGTTTAAGAGTTGGTAAACATCAAATAGATTGGCCTTAGACTAAGAATAATGTCAGGATATTGTTGAATGACAAATGATGAATATTGTATGATGAATGTTGAATATGAATGGCAAATATACATGTTGAATGATTGAATAATGAATGTTGAAAATTGAATATTGATTATTGAATATCTGAACTGAACATTATGTGCATGATATCAAATGATTTGAATATGAATTGAGATACAATTTATATGGATGTTCGACGCATTAGATATGCTTACTCAGCTTTACCGCTGAGCGTGTAGTGTGTTTTATTTGCTACACGCTGGTCAATAGAATGATGTGACGCGATTCTGGAGGCAGACGGAGGCGAGATAGTCGGAATGGATGTGATGGTTTTGAATTAAAGAATATAAATAAATTATGTTTGTGATTATAATTTGTTAAGCTTCCGCAATATTGAAAACTCTGTACTGTTTATAATATGTAAAAATATTATTATGATAAATAAAAGTGTTTGGAAAGTTTTAAATTTTACGATTACCAAGTTAATACTTTAGTCCGAAAGGGGCTGCAGACTTGGACGGATTAGGGTGTTACAGTGGGTCTTCTGGAACAAGATGGATGAAAATGGTGTTGTTGTCAAAAACAAAGCCCGGTTGGTTGCCAAAGGATATTGTCAAGATGAAGGTATAGATTTTGATGAAACCTTCGCTCCAGTTGCTAGACTTGAAGCTATAAGGCTGTTTCTAGCCTTTGCTGCTCATATGGACTTCAAAGTCTATCAAATGGATGTCAAAAGCGCATTTCTCAACGGAAACCTAGAGGAAGAAGTTTATGTGGAACAACCTCCAGGATTTGAGTTACACACTAAGGGAGATCATGTGTATAGACTCAAAAAGGCGCTGTATGGACTCAAACAAGCTCCAAGAGCTTGGTATGATACATTGTCTCAATTCCTTATAGACAATGGATTTACCAAAGGAGTCATTGACAAAACATTGTTCAAACTACAAGATGGAGAAGATCTCTTATTAGTCCAAATCTATGTGGACGACATCATATTTGGCTCAACTAAGGAAGATCTTTGCACCAAGTTCTCAGCCCTAATTCAAGGAAAATTTGAGATGAGCATGATGGGGGAACTCAATTACTTCCTTGGTGTTCAAATCAAACAGAGAAGTGAAGGGACTCTCATCAACCAAGCCAAGTACACAAGGGATCTTATCAAGAAATTCAAAGTTGATCAGAAGTCATCCGTTTCTATCCCCATGAGTACATCCACCAAGCTTGATATGGATGTAGATGGAAAGGATGTAGATGAAACTCTCTATAGAGGAATTGTTGGATCTCTACTCTACCTTACTGCAAGCCGTCCGAATATCTCATATGCAGTAGGTGTTTG